GATGCATGACAAAATTGTAGACATTGATTGATCCTGCTCTAAATGCAGCAGTGCCTCCAACCTACCGGTCCCTGCGACAATGCAGTCTTGGCTGAACACAGAATCTCCCTGGTCACGAACACAAGTGGATTTCGCAGGACGAGTCGATTGGATGACTCTTAAATTGAGCTCTTTCTTACAATATAGTCCTGCTACAACTGCTTTCTCCTGATAAAACAGAAGCCTCTTTCCTCATTATTTTCGACGTCTACAGTAAGTGGCCGGGCAGATATCGTAATCCGAAACACGTCCGTAAACAGCACTATCCTTGCGATGAGACATATCTTCAGTTAGTGTTAGGAAGGAATACGCGATGCGAACAAGCCAGGATCCCATCGCCGCGGCAGGCGATCAAAACTCACCCGCCCTGATTGGGCCGAACACAGAGCCAACCAGGAGTAGTGGCCAATTAACGTGAGGACGGTGTTCCTTGATTTGCGATGTCGCGAAGCTCAGATCATTCTTGGGGTTGGACTGCCATCACAGCTCTTTTGTGCTCGAAATGCATCGGCTACGAGCACCGCTCAACGAACTTCTGGTAAAGGATCGCAAATTTGTGTGGTCTCCTGAATGTCAAGTCGCATTTGATAATGTCAAGTCTATATTGTGTTCTGACCTATTGCTAACGAATTTCAATCCGAAGCTGCAGATCATAGTTGCTGCTGAGGCGTCAGACTACGGAATTGGAGCAGCCATATCCCACATTTTCCCCAATGGTTCGGAGAAAGCTGTGGCGCATGCGGCCAGATCACTCACCCCAGCGGAACGTAACTATGGACAAATCGAGAAAGAAGCTTTAGCCATAGTGTTTGCAGTCAAGCGATTTCACAAAATGCTCTACGGACGAAAATTCACGCCGTTTACTGACCACAAACCCTTGGTCGCAATCTTTGGATCAAAGAAAGGCATTCCGGTGTGCACGGCCAGTCGTCTCCAACGCTGGGCAACGGTTCTACTTGGTTACGATTTCGTCGTCAAATATCAATCTACACACAACATTGGTCAAGCAGATGCGTTATCTTGTTTAATTGGTACACAACATCAAGAACCAGAGGATTTGGTAGTTGCTCAAATCTCCGTAGAACCCCAAGTACAGCAAGTTGTGTCTGATATTTTCGGTGCCTTACCAGTAACATTCGAAATGGTGCGGGAAGCGACCCAGCATGATTCTACCCTTCAACAAGTGATTGATTTCCACCTCAATGGATGGCATAAGAGAGTTACAACGCCAGAGCTTCAACAATTCCACCAACGGAAGGAAGCACTATCGGTCGTCAGAAACTGCCTGCTGTTCTCAGATCGCGTCGTCACTCCACACATCCTTCAAGATAGAGTCCTCCGACAATTTCATACTGGCCACCCGGGAATGAATCGCATGAAATCCCTGATACGAAGCTATGTGTATTGGCCATATATGGATTCCCAGATCGAGAGGTTAACCAAGAATTGTCCCCGGTGTGCCAGTGTATCTAAACAGCCAAGGAAGACGGAATTGCAATCCTGGCCAATGCCAAAGGAACCATGGTCAAGGCTACTGTCGACTTTGCGGGTCCAAATGACGGCCATCATTTTCTCATCGTTGTCGACGTCCACAGTAAATGGCTAGAGGTGATTCCAATGATGAGAACCACCGCAGCAGCCATTGTCTTTGCTCTCTGGCAGGTATTTTCTCGTTCCGGTGTTCCTCACACCTTGGTTCCGGACAATGGTACACAATTCACCTCCTCTGAATTTGTTGTCTTCTGTCGCAGAAACGCGATCGTCAAGGTAAGGTCTCCATTTTTCCACCCACAATCGAAAGGGCAAGCGGAACCATTTGTGAATACACTCAAAAAGCCTTGCTAACAATGAAAGGGGAAGGTACCTCGGAGGAGATTCTCGACACAATTCTTCTGACGTATCGCACAACTCCGAATCCGCAGACACCGAACGCACTATCTCCGGCTGAAACTTTGTTTCAAAGGAAAATCCGTGTGCCGCATGATGCCCTCAGACCCAGGAAGGATCAGTTACAGTCCCGCAACTATCGGATGGAGCGTCAATTCAACATCCGACACGGTGCTCGGAAGCGAGCCTTTAATGTTGGCCAACAAGTTCTGGCGAGAGATTACCGCATCCACTATCCTAAATGGGCTATGGGTCGTGTGCTATACAAACGTGGTAACGTGATCTATAGTATCCAGGTTGGGACGGCAATTTGGGTAAGGCATGCCAGTCAGCTGCTAGATGCAGGGGTTGGCGAACAACTGCAACAACAAGTACCAGCAGCGCAGTTACCTCTGGACATACTGGGCGACGCGGGTGAAGCGAAGACTCCCCAACATGCCCCAACACAGTAACCACAACATTCGCCCAGAAACCTAGCAGCGCAGAGGCCGAAGCGGCGACGCAAATTAGTGTCACCCATACAACTCAACCCCAAGCTGAAATCGTACAACACAACTCAGAGGGGAAGTGTTAGGAAGGAATACGCGATGCGAACAAGTCAGGACCCCATCGCCGCGGCAGGCGATCCAAACTCACCCGTCCTGATTGGGCAGAACACAGAGCCAACCAGGAGTAGTGGCCAATTAACGCGAGGGCGGTGTTCCTTGATTTGCTGTAAGTTGACTTTTCCAGAGCTTTCCACGTGCGCTTTAACTACCATTCACGAACTTTCCATTTCACCTTTAGAATGAACGGTGTGATTCGCTAATAGATCCCTGTTACTCTGCTCGTCCGATCCGGTCTTTTCTCTCTCTCCCGTGTGGGGGCCCAGCGACTTCGGGTTTTGATTGGGAATCAAGCGTCCATTCAGGCGAGGGACGAACACTTCAGTCAGCACGGGCTACCAGAAGCAATCGTGTCGGAGAACGGGTCACAGTTAACCTTCTAGCAATTTGATGAGGATTGTGCACAAAATGGGATTGAACATGCGAGAGCTGCATCAAATCAGCCACAACCAAATAGCGAATTGGAAAGATTTGTCGATACATTGAAACGAGCATTGTGAGGTTAAAAAGGGAGGGAACGCTGGACGAAAGGCTGGAACGGTTCCTGTTAAATTATCAATTTACAAAGAATCAAAATTTCCCGGAGGGGAAGTCACCAAATGAAGCTCTTATGGGTAGAAGACTAGCAACCACGATAGGTTTGCTGACTACCAAGTGCTAACCTCTACAACTAAGGAAATCGGTCATGGAACAGCAATACATTAAGCGGTATGGGACACGGAAAAGAAATTTCACAGTGGAAGAATCCGCATTTGTCACCTTTAAAAGGGACAACGGATCACTTAGATACTAGGGCGAGTTGTGCGACGGCCATAGTGATGTACGATAATCAAATTTATGAAGACATCTTGCTAATCAACTGAGGTCACAGTATACGCTAGGTGCTGTCGTTCCGAATACCGACGCATTTGACGTCAATGAACTACATGACAAAAGCAAGCCTAGTACCCCTGCAGGGCGTGAAGTTCAACACATGGAATCTTCTGACAATGAAGTCCAGCAGAGGTCGAAACGAAGAATGGAATTTGTGCAACCTTTTCCGGTGGATCTTCGTCAGTAGGGCTATACAACATCTAGGCAAATCCTCTTAAGGAAAAGGCTGTTAGAAGTATGGCTATTTGACATTCACCTTTGTGAACGATCTTAGTTACCGTTTTTCATTCCTCCTATTGTCTACCTCTTGACAGTTGTTTAAACAATCCACTTCTTTAATCCGAGTGGAGAATGCACGTTGTTAGCAATGGACACTCACCTTCCGTGTCAGTCTCAGCAGCGTCATTCCCGAGAATATCTTTGATTGGCTTTTATTCGAATACATCTTTTTGGCTATGTTAATGAAATGTTTAGTCGACTTGTACTAGTTCTTACTTTCCGGGTTTGCATTTCATCCTGCCGTCTGTTTCGTGACCCATATTCAAGCACGCCATTTCGTCATTCTGATTGGCCAGCACCCATCGTTGTGAGTGAATGCTCACTTTGCAGTTTGGTCTCATAATGCTAATTCCAAGGACATATCTGATTCATTCTGCATTCCACGGCTCCTCATTCGCTTGTGGCATTTAGCGTTTTCTCTCCGTTCGGTTGGCTTGAAGGTATTTTAGTAGTTTCTCTTCAAATGGTTTCGAAACTATACAAGCAAGTGTGATTTAATGCATCCAAGTCTTTCTCGGCTCGTTTCTGGAGTTCTTGAGATCAGGGAGTGAAGTCGTCGATTGCGACACAACAAATATCCTGTTCCTATGAGATTCTTGCTTGCGCTCGCGGATAAATATTTTTATGTTGACTCTAACCAACTGTGAATTTGGAGTATAAAGCTAACCTATGTTTGTTGGTGCACTAAAAATGCCACCTTAACGGCCACTCAGCATCGATCAGGCGCAACTGATACATGGCATGCGCAACGGCCTACCCACCATTTACGGCTGTAGGTTACCATTTCACATAAGTGCATCTCCACCCTCTCTTACTGTCCCGCTTCCCCTTTTCGCATAAAGCAGTGGAACCGTATTCAATACTGAATCGCTGGAAATTTCTTCGCTAAAGTAGCGTTCTTCTTCAGTTTATTACTTATCGAGACCCAAACTGGTAAACAGAGTGGGGAAGAGTACTGGTGGAGAGGAACACACTGAGTGAACGGAAGTGCTCCGCAGCCGCTCACCCCAAGGTTGTGTTGGCCCAAGGCGAGAACCGTAGCTACAGACATGCGGACCCAATCTTGAGCAAACGGGACAAAACGCAGAGACAGAAGCAACAGCTTCAAGCCAGCAAAGGGAGCAACGAGACCACCCAGACTCAGCCGTGCGCACGCACTGAACCCAAGTGGCCAGTTTGTATTTTGATGCCTCATCGATAAGTTTATACACACGACCATGCGAGCTGCTTCCCGAACAGACAATTCGCTTAGTAGACCATCACCGTGTACGTGCACATGTGTGTGTACTGAAGTGTGTGTTGGCGTGTGAGACTCACTGTTAAGTGCTGAAAAAGCCATGCCCGCATTATGTTGGTCGCCGCTTTAGGGAAGATACCGCGCTTCTTCTGACGCTTTGCAACTTTCTCCTCCAAATCAAATTCATCTATGTTCTCTGCGGATCCAACTGAGTTATCCACGCCATCACCTGAAAGACAGTAATTCATAGGATAGGCTACAGCAGGTGATAAAAACAAGCTGTGATTATACTCTTGCCCCATGAACAAACATGAGATTAAACATGCGAATTGACCAAGCTACTGCAATCTCCTCCGAAGATATCCTGTTTACTATGGACCACGTTGTTTATGAGGTACAGGCAAGAATAGAGGGACCACATACATATTTTCTATCTACTTTTAGAGGTTCTTTGTCACAGATAACCTCTTCACAGTCCACTGACCAATGTGGCGAACATGTGCGCGGTCGTTTAGCAGATTCCATGTGACATGCATTCTGCCAACCCCAAACAAATGGCCAGGTACTTTGCAAACCTTTTAACATCTAACGATAGTTGACTTGTACTTACCAGGTTCACTGTTCATATCTTGACTTGCGTTACCATGACTACGGGAGAGAGGTGTGCTCGCCTGAGACAGATGTTGTACAACCTGTGACGCCTGGGAGATTTGGTGCGCCAGATGCATATGATGATTTATGATCTGGCGTCCCATGTGTTCATCGGCAGTGTGCTGATGGTGTCCTCTACTTCGCCCACCATTGTCGCTCCCACCGACTGGGCCGCTGCCGCCTCCGACGCCGCCCCCACCACCACTGCAACCTCGGTCGCTAGAATGCCCACCACCAGTACCGTCTCCTCGGCTGGCTGAGGAGCCACTTCCGGTTGCTCCGCCCCCGAGGCATCCACTGCCTCCGCTGGGGCTAGTATGGTCATCGACATCCGGGGATCTTCGGCTTCCCACGCTCCCAAGTAATGGGGATGATGTCTAAAGTAATGTGAACCAAAGACATGAGTTACTATTAGGATACGGCGTAAGATGAATCGAAAAATCAAGCACACCGTTTTGACCCACCTATTAAGCACGCATGTCAAAATGGTGATCCTCCGGCCGCACACGACCCTTTGCAAGCATGCCTGCGGTCCGCACAAAGAATGCTATATATATATATATATATACCCCCATGCTGAGGCTGATGTTGCATTCTTGATGCTTCTTCACTGCAGTCGGGCTAAATCAACTTAAACTAGGTCTTTTTAAACTGGATAAAGTTCATTCCACTTTATTTGGTTTGTTCTGCCTCCCTGAATAATCTACTATTAACTGACCACGTTGCTTACGCTGATTGCGCTTATCTTCGGTAACTTTGTTGCGTTTGTAGCATTTTAAGTAACTTGTGGACATTTCTTATTTATCACGGATTTGTTGCTAACCAACTTACTGCATATGCTAATTTAGCGAATAGTTATGCCACCGTATCTGTTTGCATTATTGGATTTATTTTATTTCAGCATGTCGTTTAAAGTGAATGGCTGTTGTTTGATATCCCTGGTATGGTTGCGCTTAATGTGTATGCTGACAAGGTGCCTACCTGTCTATTACCCACTACATCGTTCATACTGGCTCCAGGAGACAGTTGGTGGTTGCTGGAGGGGACGGGGTGCACGGTTCTTGTGGCCGTGCTAGGCTCAAAGAGCGGTTCCATGCAGTCAGTGTGGAGCGGACTACGGTCCAGCCACCGCCTTGTGTGCGCTTGATTCCCCAAATACAGCGTGCTTGTGTTTGCCTGTGAAGGAGTGTGGGCCGGCTCCGTTGATGAAACGTGGTTCCCATCCGCATGCCTCCCGGTCTTATTCCTTCGGGTTTACACTGGATATGGGGTGTGTGGTTGGAGCTGTGTGTGGTGCAGTGTAAGCCACCCATGGTCCCTCTGTAGACGCAGACGTTCTGTGGGTGGCCATAGTGACAGGCAAATCCGAAACCGAATGCCGCCAAACATTTATTATTATTATTATTATTATCATTATTATTGTTATTATTATTTATTATTACTATTTGTGCAGTGCAGCCCTTCAGTCGTCCGTGGCTTGACATACCTCCTATGAGTCATACCACAAATTCTCACATGTGATGATAAAATGTTGCAGACAGTAGTGCTTTCTCAGACGATATGTATAATGATGGCGTACGAAAGACCACTGTGTCCCAGTTATCACGGTTCTTACTTGTGCACAAGATTTACCCTATTACAATTGGTTAGCAATGGAATTTTGTGGCCCACGCCTTAGTCTCACTACCACAGAAAATGGGGAGGTGTGCGCTTGACTCCAGAGCGACTGTCCTAACATTGTCACCGCGATAAATTTGGTAACCGACCGGTCTTCTACACAACGATCTCCATTTATTCTCTTTTCTATTCCATCTTCCATGGAGTGTACTTCATCCTAACGGGGCAGTCCGAAGTGAAAGTGTACCCTACAATGTGTGGGCCTTTAAACATACCTACTCCACTAGGGCGTTCAATCGTCAGGTTGCCGATCCAGTCACAAAACAAGCTCCACACCAAATTCCAACCAACCCTACAATTGCGGACCGACGTGCGTGGTGGTGAGACCCACACTGCTGATGATAGACTGTTAGCTCTAGTCAATGTTTTTTTCGTATCTGCTCCGCCCATCCGCGGGAAATGTCAAATCTGACACTTGGTTGTCTGACGCACGCTTGATATCGCCGCTAGCGGAACCGCGCTTCACCAGATCCGCTGTCAAACGATGATCCACGTATGTTAATGCACACTCCGGTGCCCAGTCATTCAGCCGGATGGGAATTTTCAAAGTTCCGGAACCCGAAAGCACACAGCCAGCGCATTAACGAACATGGTGTCTGGACCACTGAACCGGGGCTATGGTTGGTGTGTCCAAGGCCAGATACAAGGCGGTACACAGCGGATGCGGGGACGCGTCCATATCTGCGCGCAGCTGTCCGGATGGGTTACTTGCACCCACAAGACAAACTGCGCATGGTGCATAGGTTAAAAAGCGGGGACTACACCTTGTTCTCTGTGTGTGTGTGTTTGTGTGAAAATGTATCACTCAGGATCCATCACAAAGGTACTGATGGTGTCCGTTTGTATGTAATCTGTGTGCATGCAGTCATCACTAGAGACGGGTGGAGAATAACAGGCGTGCGGTGGCATCGCTGCGAGTGTACCGCATACTGCAGCATCGCACAATGTGTGTATGACTGTGTAAGCGGGCGCGGTAGCACACTGCTAGCTAAACGACGCCGTTGCCGTCGACGACGACGACGACGAGACATTCAGTCACTGTGTCAGTGGAGTCGGTAAAGAGAGAAAAAGTAAACATGGGACATAATCAGCCGCCAACTTTACCTGTTTGCGCCGTAGCGCGAACCCTTTGATGATATTCTGCCATGGGAGCGGCAGTGCATTCTGCTGCGTAATGTGTGTGTGTGTGTGTGTGTGTGCGGGGGGTGGTTGGGTGGGTGTGTACATGTGGCTATACTGATTCGGATACGCGTGACACGGAAAGAAGCGAAAGACTTGTGTGATACACATTCGTTTGTGGGGCATGTCAAGAATCGCCTTGAAATCTGCAATCGATGATCGATTGAGAAGATGCCGACTTCGATTGTGCCGATGTCAACATTCCAGACGCTGAAAGGATCCCGGAATTAGTTCTACTCTGCCTATGGCGACGCATTTTTCTAACCCCGATAGATACATTTTCAAGTCACACAGGTCTTAGCAAACTTAAACCACTGAGCATTCATTCCGTGGTCCATTTGCGGTGTAACACGGCTGCAATCCCTGGAAAGCTATCCGAGAAGAAACTTGAGTGAAGTTTGTCATCAGGTTGGTGACCGAATTGTGGTCCAAGGAATATAGTCGATAGGCAAATTGTGATAGCGTTGTAACTATGGCGCTTGAGGAAAGTTACGATGCGGAACAAATGTACAAGCTGAATCGTACTGACGGACATTTGCAACCAGTTGGGTGCACACGTAACATTTAGACCAGACGTGGGAAATTATACTAAAGGGGCAGGGACAGAGGCCGCGGAGCCACCATGGCACAAAAAAGAGGATAAACGATTCACACAGCTCGATACCTTGTGTGCCGGAGTGTATAGCAGCTGAATGCTCGTCCGTACTCATATCATTTTGCTCTGTTGCGAAGCCAATAGCGCTTACTGGTCGACTGACAAAGCGGAGAGGACAGGTTCCGTGTGCATTTCTCATTTGGTGAGTAGCGATAGTGTGGGTGACAAGTATACTAGGTAATGAACGGAGTCACGCAGGAGGCAGCTGAAAACACAGTGCCCATAATTCAGAAAGTGCGCGCGTGGTTCCCACTAGTTTCTTTGGCTAGGCTAAGTCGCAGCGTTTACCATAGTTCGACGGTGAAACGAATGTACCCTATTAGTGATTGTATGCCGGGCGCATATAGATTGAGAAACTTGCTCTCTATCGTTTATGCCTGTGTGTGCGTGTGTGTGTGTGCACACCCGGACACCGACGCATGTTCAATGGTGGGACCACTTCCTGCCTTTGTGCATACCGCGAGACAAGACAACTTTAGTGGACCGACCACACAATGCCGGTGGTGGCGCGTAGCAATGGGGCCAGGAGGAGTGCAAGAGAACAGCCGTGTCACCCGTGATTGTTATCGCTTATGCCGGTGTAAAACCGATTTCGGTTACTGAAACACTGGGTTGGTACACCTTCCAGTTGGCAGGACACCGTCCTTTGGGCATCGATCTACTTTCATCATGCTGTAAATGCGATCGCGGCTTCCAATGAACTTGCAAACTAGCTAATCAATTGCAAGAAAGATATCCGTTGTTGATACCACGGCAACGTTGACCGCATTGTGAAGGCCTGCTAATAAGCAACCGGTGAGTGTATTGTGGTCAAAAGTAGTGGAAGACTTGCTCTGTGACGTTAGTTACTGCCTCTCAACTGACCCGTACAAGTGATAATGGCTCCGGTTCACGTTGCCTGTAATTAGTTGGTGGACTGCCACGGGAATACCGTGAATGGGATTCCACTGGTCATTTGTATGACTGCGTCAAACGCGATACGGTCAATTAAAACGATCAATGCGATCACGCAGCGTTCACGAGCGGAACCTGTGTTGTCTGCATGACATTAGAACCCTCAAGGGGATCCACGATCTGAGCATCTCTGCGTTGACTTTACAGTACTTGTCTGTAAGTTTGCATTTCATGTAACGAATGGTATTAGACCTTAGGGTTAAATACGACTGAATTCCTCTATCGCTCGATGTGGAAAACAGGCCGGTTACACGAGCTCATGCGTAGAAAGCAGCACCAACAAAACCGCTTACTTGTCTGGAAAACTTAGTGAAAACGGCGTGCGATGCGCTTTACCTCAGCTTGGACGAATCCCCTCACCGTTCACGACTCAGTTACTGGACCATTGTCACACATGGAACGGTAACTCCTCCACATGAGAATAATAATAATAATAATAGTAATAATAATAATGTAAGTTTCTCGGGGGTCCCAGACACCGTGCTCACAAAGAGACAGATTGTCACTGTGATTACACACAACCACGTGCACAGCGTTCGATCACGGATAGACGTCAACCGGATTGCTTTACCGAGTCGCACACAGAACCACGCCCGCAACCACATGTTCATTGCGCGCTCGAAAGGGTAGGATGGCGTGAAATGTGGGGATAGGAATCGGAATTGCCCGTTAACCTGCGAGTCCGTATGATAGCTCTTCGAGATTATGACGAATGCCAACTATGTGTGTGCCGTACGTTAAGCTGGTTTGTGGACATTTTAATCGTATCAAAACACTGTCTCTTGCGGGTTCACTTACACGACTTGACGCGGAGTATGTGGCAGATATATAACGAGGTGGCTTAGCCTAACTCGCTCTATGATGAAACTGCTCTCCGAGCACGCAATTGCCACAACGGCGTAACTTCCCGTCACACCAATTACTGACCAGTAGACCTCATAAGCCAGTAATTGTGGTAGTGCTATGGCAGCAATGGACGTATAATCAGCGCCTCTATCGTATGACATCAAGGGAGCGGTATAATCAGGGTGGGCACCGAATAACAGCCAACCAGACATACATTGTTAAATGACCTATAGTTAGGCGCAACTCAATTGCATCACTATTCGTGACTAAGATCTTGTGCCTGACAGTCTAAGTTGAGCATCCGTGCTTGCAAATGACCTTGCTGGATTTGGTCAAGTCTGCATGGCCAACCGGAAAGAATATCTCGACGGAACACGCTGGCCTGTAACACAGTTACTGCTAACGGTCGCGGTCGTCTGCTATCCAACTCCTCTGCAACTCAGTCAGTAGGTGACTACTGACGGTGGACCCAGATGTGACCGACAATAGGTCAGGAGAAAGCGTAAAAGAATACGTTAGATGTAGAGCTTTTAACACAGCCTACGGACAAAGGTCAGTTATGCATGGAGTATTTCCGTTCGGGTCAGTCGGAAACAAATGAATACCCAAAGGTGCCTGAGTGACTCACTGGTATTAAGGATAGTGATACCGCTACTACCAACAAGCAATGAAATGTATAAATAAAGGTACATTTCTAGACTTCTGCTAGAAGCTGTACCCGCAAGAGATTGACAACAACCGGACAATTCGACAGACTGCGTAATTTGAAAACGTGTAAGTTCGCTATTTTCTTTGCTAGCGTTGATCAGCCGGTTGTCTGCGCTGGTGGGTTTCACCAGATAATGCCAAAGCTTATCGGCAGATAATAACACACATTCTGTGTCTGGTATGGATTGCGATCGCACAAAGCCTACCAGTTGGTCCTGATGCTACGGCGGCGTTCAGTGTAAAGTTCTAGTTTGAAACAGGTTGCTGTTGCACGTCCTGCATGAACTATTTCTTAGCACTTCAAAAGGGACACGGAAACAAAAGTGCCGGTGACAAGGGTTGTCTGTGGACGACTCCGTTGCCACACGAGCCTTGAATGCACCTCGAGGTCGAAGAGCAGATATCAGCTGGCTTGTCACTACATCGATTTGCTATTAGCACAAGGATCTGACAGACCAAGTAGTTGACATTCACAAGCGACTACCTTCATTTCGACCCAGTGCGTTCCATGTACCATGAGGCGGAACATAGCCACATTTTGTCAATGACCATTGTTTGACATTCACTAATTCGACTCACACTTGAAAATGCTCTGCCTGGTCGGCCAAGTTGTAGGAGCAATTCGGGTGGTTACTGAGATACACCAAATTGACAAGATCGCATTCAGATGATGCGTGAACGGAATAAGCTCCTCAACGACCGTATGGAAGGAACATCCGGGCGTTGTTGAGCAGTACTTGCAACTTCATGTTGCGCTCACTGGTGAGTACAATGCAGTTTATTCCGTTAGGCTGACTACTGCCTACATTTGGGAAAGGCGCAGATAATACTGTGTAGTTTGTGGTGAAATTGCACGCGTCGTATTGCCGATAAACAGATCACGACGACGTTCATGTGGGGTGTGCGTTGACTGCCCGGAAGCAGGAATATGCGTATGTATTGTGCGAACTCCAGCGCACCTGGTGCCAACTGCTAAACGCTTAGTCGTGATTTGTTTTACGAATTCAGTGCTTGCACACTCGCTGTCTTCCGATACGATGAGATTCTAATGGACAATCGAAGGTGACGAAACGCTCTTCCCACGCACAACATAATGTTAGGGAGAAAGATATCAACAAAATCCCTCAGGTGCCCTTGAGTTTAAGCTAACCCTTGGATACCAACGGCCGAAAAGATGCTCCATTCGTTCCTTATGGCATACAAACACCTCCGCCATAAGTGTCATTGCTCTAGCAACAATTCTACTGGCTACCTGAGGGTTGCGCTACAAGATAAGTACACTTGATAATGACCAAAAGGGGACATTTTTAAAACTTATCTATTCGAGCCTAATACGCAAAATACCCAGTTCTTTTTGTGTGGCCGCAAGCGCAGTAAACATACGTCATTTCCATGCTGCCTGCTGCCACTCTAACATGCACGTACTGGTAGCGAATGTGCTTTCGCCGAACAACCATCGGTATCTGCCGTCGCTGTGCGGTCTCACATTCCCCGGATGAATGGATAAAATCAAAAAGAAAACGCACCGTGGTGATCGAGGAGTTTACACACACACAGACCCCAAGTTGTCAATCAAATCGTTGACTCATCTGCGATCGCATCGCAAGACCACCACGGGAGAGTGCCGGCCAGCAGGTGTACAAGTACACATGAAGCAGTAGCACAACTTCAAGGTTCAACATGATGCCCCCAACTGCAGTACCTGGAATTAGCGATTACGCCATGTATGCTTAACTAGTTGTTGCAACTGGATACATCGTTACCTACCTAAATACGACACGCTCCACCACGAGGGGTCTTTGCATGCAAGGATTAACACAATTTGCGTGAATTAAATTGTTTAACTTCCCTGACTAGAGGTACCCACTAGCTTGTCGGCTGATGATACAAGTTTAGAATTGGGACAACTATGTCGATTCTGAGTGGTAAGTCCCAAGCGGTTAACCGATGAACGTGTGTCTCACAAAAGGTCAGTAGTAGGTGCTCCGCATACAAAACACAAGGGAAATAAAATATTCTAAATCCAGATAACTCACCTTGGAACGTGGCACAAGTCCGGAGGATGATGAGGAAGACAGAGCATCTGTTGACATCTGATGTGGTGGGGGGTGTTGAGCTCCGTACACTCCAGATGGGGTTGCACTCATTCGGGCAGGGTTAGAACCTCCGTAGCCTGGGGAAGCGCTTCTAAAAGATCCAGCCAGCCCCGGCCCAGGTGCCTGATAGGGCGAACCAAGATGTGGAGGTTGTCGGTTGTCCGGTCCAACATCGGATCCACCTCCTCCGTAGGTTGACCCACCACTTGAGACACACGAAGGTGGGTACAAGCTAGTGTGGACCCCGGTGGTGTAAGCGGAATGGTGTGGTGCACGGTTGACCGAATGCTGCCCGTAGTAGTTTACCGGATCGGCAAATCCCCCTCCGGATGGGGACGCGTGTGTTGGATGAACGTGGGGATAACGTGGGTCGGTGAAACCGGTTTGGAATGAGCCGGCGCCTTGAGTGCCGGGGTACATACCTCCGAGACCAAGTAGACCACCCATCTGTGAGACAGAAGCTGCGGCTGCTGCTGCGGCATACGCACTGGCAGGGTCCCCCCGAAATCCAGAACCCCCGGCGTAAGTAGGAAGACCCATCATGTTGGAATTATGCAAGGCGTGTTGCATCGCGAGTGGACCAGCGTCTTCTCCCAAGCAGTTGAACAAGTTAGTCCCACTCGATGGATGGGAACCAGAGTTGAGTGTGCCCACGGACATGTTGTTCTGCGCAACGTTGGACGACAAGGAACCACTAACTGGTTGTGGGCTGTTTCCTGATCCAGTCGATCCGGCGGAGTCTCTGTCCTCGATAACCAGGTCGATGGGCATTTTACCCCGAAGGCAAGTGATATAACGTGAGCAAAAATTATCACAGAGTTCATGGACCTTAAGTGCAAAGGGGAGGTAGATATCGAAATGCAATGGTGACAGTTCGATCAGATAACAAAGATAGCATCGCAGATATATGTTCAAACCAGATAAGCGGGGGTGCATGGAAAAGGCGACAGTAGCGGACACTTGGATGGCGGTGAAGCGCTAGGTGGTAGTTATCGGCTTCAAAAGTTGACGCATTTTATAACAGGAGAGTAAGATAATATTTCACTCACAGGCTAGCGAAGAGTGAAAAGGAGCGCCGGATGAATAGCAGGGGTGTGGAGTGGCTTTTTACATTAGGATGAAAGCTAACACCTATACCCCCATCGTGTGAAACAACATTTTTGAGCGTATTCAATGCCATGGGGATGCACTGCTCTGGATGGGGAAATTGAACTTCCGAGCATTGAACAAAACACTGAGTTGCGTCTCACAGCAGACATACCTGTCTGTTCTACTTAGGCACCTAACAGTTAGAGGATGCGGACCAACGGGTACCCTAGACGAGCACATTTGACGGCCACTCTTGGGTAACGTCCAAGCCACAAGGCTATCCGTTAACGGAGCAAATGTGACCCGATTGAACTACGGGTTATTAAGCGATGGGTTGATGTGATCCGGAAAGCGGACCTCCCTACTAGCTACGGGACTTCGCACGGAGCAGGTACTGTGCCGTGGATTGAGGCCAATATGGCGGACACAGCGTCACAAATAAGCGAACGAAAAGGTACGCTCACGTGCGCACAAAAATGAACGCAGGTAAGAATGTACAGACGAGAGTGTGCCACGGCACAAACCGAGAAGCCAGGCAGGTTGGCTCGTTGGCTGGCTGGTAAGTGCACAATCGTGAACACGCCCCAAAAACAGCCCGGTGTACCACACACACACACACACACACGCCAGGTGATTGAAATCAAATCAACGTACCTTCTCGATTTCGAGCAAATGAAACCGGAGAACTTGAATTGCTTGAATTATCTGTAACACAAAGAAAGATAAATTGACTGGGTGGGTGGGATAGAGGAGGAGTGGGAGATTATAGTGGACATTGAGTAGATTTGGATGAATTGTGAGCACCGATATGGGGGTTACTTAGTCAGTGTTGCATCTCTTGCTCAAGCAGGTTCGTCTGTATAAAGAAGTTACCCTGGCTACTAAGTGTATATAACAATCTAGGCGAATCATGCATTCCTCCAAGTGTCGGAATTTAACCAGGGAGGATTTCAACTGAGAACGATACCATGCATGAGATCCAAAAGACAAACGTGTAAGTGGCGACAAAGTCGTACTTCTGATGGCTATTAAAATGGGTCAATGAAACTGTGACAAACGATTCACCACGCAGAAAATACGATGCGAAGTGGATCTTGCGTTGCTAGAAAAGATGGACAGTGAATGAAAAGCAAAACCTTTTTTTAATTACTAGTCTCAGATGATTGAGAAGAAGCGATGAGTTTCAATGCTACTCATTTTACCCTGAATGTTTGTCGCATAATCTAGGGATACTCGAAACGATTGTCATAAGAAAAGCGCATGCTTGACACTCAAATGTTGAATCCAGACTACTTTGTGGCTATGCCCTTAGTCTGACACCTCATAGCAAGTTGATGGAAATGTTTATGCCTTCGCATTAGTGTAACTAGATGCAGCGGCTATCCGAAAGGGAAAAATAGGCTACAATTTGTGACGCTGGCGCTACCGCACACACACACACACACACACAAGCCCAGCAACTTCGTCACACTCACCAGGGAATCCAGTTCAGGATCATTGGTACGCATACTTTTCTGAGAACTGGCCAACTGCAACATCGAACGGGAAAGTGATGAAAGAAGCGTATGCATGAAATGCAAGACATCAAAAGGGAAGTTGACGCATCTTAAACAAACCGAAGTTTATAAGCGACGACACGACGAGCCTGAACTACCAGTAATACTAGTTATTTTTCAGCAATTTCTCACAAGACACGTCCGGTTGTCATATTGTGGCGCCTACTGAGCATACAAGCAGGGAAGTGAACTTATCTTTCAGAAAAAAATCACTGGTTTGTGTAGATATCCAGTATAGGTCAAGCGGAGAGCGCCTCAGACCAATCTTTGATGTAGCGTACTTCAGCACGCTTGCACCAGTTGACTTTATGTAATGTCCTCCGGAACCGGACTATTGAATGACAGTCTTAGGAGAAACGTGTTCTCCTTTCCAAGATCTTGCAGTCAGTGCGGCTAGGATTCCTGCTTTGGATGACGTCAATCCCCTACCATTGCTTGTGGCGTTCCGTGCAGTTGCAAATGAGCACTTTAGAAATGCGGCATTTCGGCGTGACATTGCGGTTGGGATTCCATACATTGTAAGTTGAGGTAGCATGCATAAGGGGCAGACAGCTACATGGGGCCCTAGGCAACACTGCAACGTTTCACAAGAGGGTCGTGGGCATCTTGAATCACATCAGCAGGCAGGCGATGAGGAGGACAAGGTGCATCAGTAAGCAGCGGTTCCTCATGCACTCCCGACTGATAGTGGTGCCGATATCGCTCGGATTTTGTGCAACTTGGCAGGTGTGATTTGGTGTGGAACAGATGCCATAATGCCTATCGTTCATGCAGTAACCAACGTATTTGTACCTCCTGCTGACACGAAAAGAGCATTTTTCTGGGATTCATAGACTGACGTGGAACATTGGAGGAAGTGCACCGATTCGAAGCGAACCAACCAGTTGAGAATGACGCAATGCGTGTCTGCCCGATGGACTGCTTCACCTCAACTGTTGCAAGTGTTCTGCATAGGTTCGAATGGAAAGTCCATGGAAAGATTACATAACAGAACTTTTTCTGTCCGTCTCACAAGCCATGCTACTAAAAAATCGAAGTGTCCTGGAACGCTATTTGGATATCAGAAGACACAAGTCGTCGAGAATGTTAGTGGAAGCGTTTAATATATGTGATTTTGTCTTCGTAAGAGTCCGAGAATTTGATCTGGATCTATTATGACAGTCCAATTCACATTACAGTTCCTGTTTCCTTTCTGTTGTCCTCCTTAGTTGAAGCCGTAACCAATGTGCTGATGCGAACTGATGTGTTGGTCACTGGTAAACTAGCTGAACTTGATGTATCGAGCTAGTGTGCTATGCATACGCTTAGGCTGGTAACCCATGTGCTAACTTGATTCGCTCTCTTAGACACATTACACGGATCGTGTAACAATCATTGGGCACTCAACTACTTCGTGGTCAGCTTTCACAACGAAGCCGTTCAATGCCTCGTAGGCAGGCAGGTAGGCACTCACCACACAACACACACACACTCGTAAGGGAATTTATTGGAATCGTGAAAAGTGTTCGCATTGTTTTTATGGAATTAACTGTGTTGGCTTTCCAAAGACAAGCGGAGTGCACCCATCAGATGAACACCATACGACTTTGTGTCGAACCGAGACCGAAACCGTTCAGCGCGAACGATACACGAGTCTGACGAGGCGGTGTCCGGTGGGGTCCGAAATGCATGTGCAACTAACTATCTGGACACACGAAAAATATCTCATAGTATATGCACTGCATGTGTCCGTTCCATGAATGTATGCGCACATGGTACCGCTGTCCAGGACCAGGTTACAATATAAAAGCGGCACAGATGTGGCCTCAGGCCGGACAACCTTGCCATCTGTGCCAACGTGTGGAGATTTATCCAACAGTGAAGCTTTGATCCACATTCTAAAACATATATCAAAGTTTGCTGATGAAAGAAATATATTTACAATGCGTACGGGAACTTGACGTTTGGCCGACAGCCATGGGCAGCAGTGGGTGCACAGTTCAACCGTGACACAATCCTAAGTGGAAACGGATAACTTGATGCTATAGCTGAACTCTGGTGGTGGATTGCTGTTGTTTTGTCCGATATTTCAAGAATTCCAAGTTGTAGATGAAATGAATCGTCGTAGTCCCTCTTCGAGTAGACGGGGCACGCACTACTGACGATCCCCGCCGAAACGGTAGTCTAGTGTCTATCCTGATGTACGGTGGCCGTTTGATCCATTGTTACTGGGACAAATCTCTCCAAACTACATATTGTCTGTCCCAGATTTAGTGAAGTACATTGAGTCCTGCAACAGTTGATGTGCGAAATCCGTTCTATGGCATCAATATTCTGGTTGACAACCACAAAATGTGGGATTAGCGCCTCAGTTTCTGCTATCCAACTTAGGCAGCTAGACAAGCCGTGTCACTGAATTTGGCGAATATCCAATATTTTTTTCAATAGTGACAACAAAGCGAATACATTTCGCTGGATGTAGGTTGTTAGCCGTACGTTCGTGTCAGTGCGTTAAAAGGCAAGCAAGTAACATGAAGTATACGGCTACTTTTGACAGCTCCGTATTCTACCGTATACAACCTTAGCGTATACGGCTGGAATATCGAGCCTTTTTACTGCTTACTGATCTAGTTAGGCTGCTAAACAAGGACAGTAAAACGATGAGCGAAGGTTCGATCTAACTCTAGTGGTAATGTGGAAATGTGAAGCGCCCAGTGGATTTCCGCTCACCTCTTTGGCGAAAACAGTGATATCTTCATTGAAAGACTCCGAAGACCACACGTCCATGCCGGTGCCGACTCCGGAGGCACGATGGGACGCCGCAGGATCGCGGGGAGTGCATGTGGCCAGCTCACATTTCTCAAAAATCAACGTTAACAGTGGGAACAGTGGGTGTCTGAAAATGAGAAGCGAGAAACTTGAGTGTAAGGAAGAGGCGAAAAGACCCATCATCCTTCGAATGATACACTTGAGTACCAATTTGAGCTGTCAAAAATAACCATTTACCAGGAAAACCGGATGGGCAAATGGGGCAAAATGTTTCTAATTCTTCGAAATTGTTACATGGAAGAAGTGAGCTGTTTCATAGTCTCTCTGTGCATAATCAAGGTCAGGCTTTGGTGACAAGCCCACAGCTGGTGACGAATGACACAGATACTGAGTCGCTAATGACAAACAACCAACTAGAGCAAATGTTATAGATAGTTTAACAACAGTAGTTTGATGTCCCCTCATCTCGCGTGACACAACAGCGAGTAGATCCGGACTGGTTATCTGGGTGTGATCATTAAGCTATCCAGGTTCATTGAGAACAAACGTTGAGAACAAACAGGTGCACACTGGATTGCTGTGGGGCGCAACGGGCCATAGTTTGAGTGAACCGAGCGCATTGCAATCGGCTACGTTCAATTGGTATTTGGTGTGCATGAGGCTCGATAACTTCCGCGTCCAGAAGGAGCAATTCAAAGATACTTTTAAATCGGTCGAGTCTCCGGCAATATTGTTGACCCACAGCAACGACCAATAAACAGATTGCATATCACTGCAGGAGAATGTTGTGGCATTGTAGTCGCAAAATTTTGTCGTTACTTATGCGTAGCGTCGCTTGTGAATTGACCCGCAACACTGATATCATAGGTCCAGCCCAGTGATTCTTAGAAGACTAAGAATATTCACCATCGTTCGTAACGAGTATACTTCGGTTGGAGATGTGACGTCTCCTAGTGGATGCACTAAAGATTCATCCATATAACTGTGACCAATTGATCTATGAAGATGGACTGCGGACAGTTGTACTGAGTCCTCATCAATGAAAATCGCCATCTACGTGAGTGAAGCCAACGTAGACGCTGCAGCATCCGGATTGTCGCGTCCCATTCATGCGGATTCAATACGCATAGCATGTATAACGTTACTAGATACATTAGTGAATTGCATCCATCCACAACAATGAATACCGTGTACCATTAGTAAAGCGGCCGCTTTTTGTTGATTTTGTCGAAATTTACTCGATCTAGCTAACCCGCATTACATACGACACGTACGCGTCTAGCTGCATACCCAAACCGACTCCGTTGGGTTGCATTACCTGAGGTGCGTTTCACGAGCGGCTGTCCTTATTCACCGTGTTTTGTCATATCCGCGTATGTTGTTCTATGACAGATGAACAAGGTATTCGCATCACGACCAGGGACGAGGACAACTACACCGGAAAAAGGTTAAGTCATCCAGTCTAGACGACCAGCAACTCCCCCGGTCATGTGAGTGTTCCGAGGTCTCCTTCAGAACGATAATTTGTTCACTTGGTATCCGTCCGCTATCCCATACCCCCAAATGAATCCGTACTATCAGTGCACGTATAACCAAACCGATCGCTTATACATCGGTTTCATCAGGCTACCTCGGATAGTATGCATAATGATACTTGAGTGTCGTCATTCTACACGCTAGCTAGAAGTGCGAAACGATTCGGGTATCCCGTCACTGATTATATTTTCGACGTGGAACCACGACAACGTTATGACTCCTGCAAACGGGGAATGAGAAGATACATCCAGATTTTACGTACCCGGGGGCATATTCCTACCGATTCCGCGGGTGAAGTAATGCTGCTTATTCAACTCAGCAACACCACTGTTTTCAAGTGCAAATATGTTCGCCTCCACTCGGAGTTTGTACACTTTGAGTAACTAGCAACTAGTGGCATGCTAATTTCAACTAATCCATTGAAGAACATATGCGAAAAAATAACTCTGCTTTTTTCCAGAAATGCAGCGAACTGATTTGTAAAGTGCGATATCAGTAATATCGTGTGCGAGTAAATTTAACGCCAACATTGGCACCAACGACCCCGGAGCCTTTATCCCTGTAACCTAGTTGTATCGTGCAAGCGTGAAATCACACAAGGAACCGCGACTTAGCACAACGGGGTTTACTTTGTAACAGAGTATTGGCTAACGGTAAGATTGGCGGTCGTTTGCTAACGATTACTTGAGTGCACTAGAAAGCTCAGTACTGAATATTCTATGGGAAAAAGTGTATTCTTTCTGTTCGCACCATCACTAGCGAAGCAGTAGCCATGCGGCCTAATTGTCTGCATTAAACAGTCAATTGCATCTCCCTCCTCTTTAGCTGTCCAGTACGGGATCAAAAATGGCATGTTCACAAGAGGACAAGTGAGATTGCCACCTTTCGGTAAGCGCATCGATCTTTCGCGACACGATCTATCGAAATCGATGACACCCATGCACACACACACACACACACACACACATAGATCCTGTTTGTCCCCTACTCACTCAGTTTGCTGCAACCCGCAACGTTCCCCGAACACAAGAGTTGGCCGTTGCAAACATGTCCACGTTGTCACTCGAGCTGGTGGTTTGATGCCATCAGACAGTCCGAAATGCTGTTCGACCGAAGAATGAGTTGAGCCCAGGGTATTTCGGATGTGCTGCCGGAACGGTACGCCATGGCTACCCTTAACTGGCACTCAAATGACCAAGGTGGAACTATAACGTTGTTGTGGCCTCCCTTTGAGGCAAGTTATTCGTTCAGCATGGTTGTCCGGTTCATGTTGCCATGGTGCTGGTGGCACTTGACTGTAGTCACAGAAAGTGATGTCGCTGTGACAAAGCGTTAGTCGCGTGATTGACTACTACTGGCCGACTGAGTTGTGTGCTCCGGCGTTTATCTACACTGATCCGGGTCAACATGGGTTGTTTTATCAGGCCGTAGCAACTGACTTGCCGGTACACTAATATTCAGCCTGGCAACAATAAGAACAACACCAACGGGAACAAGAGGAATTGTGATGTGGGGAGGCATATCCGTGTCACAAAGTGCGCATCAGATCAGGGTGGCAAATCCATCATTGGTAAAACACGGGTCTTTCTGGATTTCAGGACGGTATTAATCGTCTGCAGGGTCAGCAGACAGGCGCGGACTTCATGTGTGCGCGCTACCCCAACTGACTTTGAAAAAGTAGACAGACGAAGAAAAAATATTTGGTCGCAATTCCAAATAGTGATTTTGGGCTCAAGCGAATAGGTCAAATCTGATTGTGCAGCCACGACGTTGAGCTTTGCTGTGCCTGTCGCACACATTACTGCGGCGTCGATTACGGTAACTGGGATAGCGTATGTGAACATGTGCGCCCGATTGGTATAATGCGCAAGCCGTGTGTGTGTGTGCGTGAGACAGGCACATAAGCGTACAAGCGTGACAGACTGGTTGACCAACTCTTGTGCACGGAATACGACTGGCACAGCTGTCCAAACCAGCACATTAACTGCAGTTCCGGTAGATAAGGCCGCCACCTAAATATCCCACCACCATGACTATCGTCGATGGCTGGCCAACTGTGTGACTACTGCCCCCGATCACTTCATCCTATTCTATCCGCTAACCTCGACGCATGGTTAACAACCTTCCCCGGCTTGCCTACCCCCCACCACCCGTCTGCTAAGCATCGCAAGCAAAAGGCAATCGATTTGTAAATGATTAATGGGACCTGGGCAAACAGCGCGAGTGTCAAACCGAGATTGGTCATGCGGCGGCTACGTTGGGTGGGGGTGGTGCTGGTGGGAGGAGGGAGAAGGAAACAGACCGGTAAGCCTGTGCGCTAGCGTGTACACAGCTTTCCTTGCGTTTTGCAAACGTACACGCTACATCGAGAATGTAATCCATCCCCGCATTCTCTTAGCTTGCAGAACGAATAGATTGAACGATCGAATCCGCCTAGTTCATCCACTTGTCTGCCCCGAAACTGACAGAGGAGGCAGGAGGGTGGAGTGCCGAGGCACAGTAAGTGAGCTGGTGCAGAGGAGCGCGCATGAAATCGCCACGATGTTGGATGGAGGAGCTACACAAACACCGGCTCTGAGGCGAGGAAAACGGCGACCGACAGACCGTCGCATGCTTGTGACTTTGACACGCATGATCGATGGGCTTTAAAACGTATACATGCCTCATCAAGCTGACAATAGTGCGCCAATCCACAGCGACATCCACAAGGCCACTTAGTTGGAAGTCCGCCCAGTCGAAAGGGTTCAACTAGCTGCACTCGGAAGCATACTTGATTTCGTTGTTATAGGGATCCGCTAAGATGAATTGCAGTGCAAAGCCAGTGTATAATGAAAATACTACCCAATTCATTCATCAGGAGATGAAAGCCTCATCTTAGTATGTGACGGAAGGATACTGACGATCTAAAGACTAAAAGGCCAGTGCCTCAATTCCGGTGGGTCTCAAGTTACCCCCCTATACGCTTAAGGCAGAAAATCAGGATTCTAACGATCGGCACCAAAACCGAAGTACCGGATACCTCAGTGACTGGGGATTGGATACAGGGATTCGTACTGAAATGCGTTGAAAGACAATCATTTTCAATGATAAACACTAAAACAATGAACTGCCGATTTCAATCAATCTGGTAACGAGGCTGTTGTGACCAGGTTGTCAGGAGCGACAAACAAAGCACAGCTCAATTGGACCGACAGAAACGTCGTAATCCCGAGCCATTTCGGGGCTTGTTGATCGTAACTGTTTGTTAAAGAGGCGCTTGACACCCGACATGCGAGCGTCCGTCAGGACGGACTTCAAGCCCACTCATGAAATGACTGTATGGCAGGTTGCACAGAGCTCTTGAACTTACTCGTACACGGAGGAACGGGCTTTGAGTAATAGGGGGTCAAAGCCCAATGAATGGCCGAGATTTGAATTTGGGTTGACTGGAGTGGGAGGGCCAGGTGGTTGGGTTGGCAAGTGTCGCGAATTAAGGTCACCTCGGGTGTTACTAGCGTGGGGACTGACAGGTATGCCAGATTGATGGGGGAGTGCTTGATTGTGTGACTGAGTAGCAACAGAGGTGGAGTACGGTACGGATGCGTAATTGAGGTTGTGGTAGTCGTCGTTGACGCCTGCTGAGGCGCCGGTGGAGGAATCGGTGGAGTTACTAGTTCGCTTGCCAAATGTGTGTATTTCTGAGCCAACACGACCGCTAGATTCGTGAAGATGCTTGGATCCTGACTGCTGGGAGACTGAGCAAGGCTGTTGAGTATTAAGTGACGGAGTCCGGGAGGGAAAATGGGCGGTTGCGTCTGAGGAAGATAGGACCGAACAGGAAAGTTGTGTGGAGCGGTCGCCGAGTTTTGTGTTCGAAAGGGGATTGGGTCCAGTGTCTGTCGATGAGGCGGACGATGACGAGGATCTTGAAGAGGAGGAGGACCTAGAGGATAATGATTGGGCAACACCACCGATTGATGTCTCTTCTGGTTCTACTTCAGATGTGCGCGAATTGTAGGCGGTGCCCAATTTCGCTACGGGCGTCCGACTGGGAGATAACCGTGGACAAGACAGAGACTGCGGTGAATTCTGTGGAAACAAAATACAACAGAAACAATTGCATTATCAAGGTAATGGTAAGGTATCCTGGTTTTGCTAAAAAACAGGTGCCAATGAAAAACCTCTAGTAACCAGCCATTTTATTCACCGACTGACCGATCACACGAAATGAATTGAAGAGTTTGCGGGTTTGCTCGCGTCCCTGATACCACAACCATCGTGCGTTTGCAGGCAAATGCACTCCGGTCAGGTGGAGAGTTAAATCAACCATCGACCTCTAACTGCCAAACCCAATTAAATCACACTCAAAATCTAGTTCGTTGCTTCTGTCCCGTTCCCGCGTTATCTCCACTATCCCGATTAGCATTGGGGCTCTTCCATGCGCGGGCGAACGAACGGCAAGAGAACTTAACGACCTGGTAGCAGCCAACACACAGTCGACGGATCCGAAATCAACGTAGTCTGTCTGGCCCAAGTGAGCACTGGTTGACGTAGCCGGGATTTGCCGTAATAAGCCGCCAACACACGCAAGCACGCACGAACGCACGCACGCACTCGCATCTCGGGGAGGCCAACCGCGAGGCTGCCAGCGCCCATTCTTACCCATAGCCACGCGGACAGGTCGCAGCACGAACGGGACAGTGTTGCAACATACGGCGGCGAAAACCATGGATTGCGTGAATCACCGGCATGACAACACACTGGAAGGAGCCCTAGTCGCGCAGAGACATATTGTTACCACGTTTCCAATTTTTGCGATCCTGACAAAAATGTGACCGCGACCCTGTTCAGACTGCATTCAAGTCACAACGGTTGCCATGGTGGGCACGGACAGAGCAGGCCGGTGAGTGGCTGGTACCCTATCAGCAGTACGATTAGTACATGCGCCTACGCTGAAGACCCCATGCAAGTGGGATTCATTTGGCATCCCGTGTAATCCGGTACTCTCGCACTGAGAAGGATAGTTATCGGTCTTGAATAGGGCGGAAGACTAGTTGTTTCACGATAGATCGCATGTAACATTTGCAATTATGTTGAGTGAGGAGTACCTGAATGCGGACAGCGATGGAGCTGAGTATCCAATGCTGGATAATCCATGAGTCGGACATCACTACTCGGTGTGGCGCATCTGGAGTATTTAATCCCGTAGCTAACTCACGATCATCGGGGGTTTGAAGATCCCTCAATGGACAGGAACGTCAGATGGCTACACGAATAATTTTGGGTGAGTGTGCGAATGTGCATCAACTGGGCAATTGCATACCGTGTACAGTGGATTTCTCCCAGTAGCACACACAGAGCGAATGCGATTGGGGCAGCGAGTCTACGAAGCGGTTGGGTATGAGGTGCTCAAAGTATGCTTATAGAGCGTGAGACGTCGCCATGTGCGCACCCAGTTGCTGCGTTGCGTTTGTACACATCTGATAATTAAGCAATTGTGATTCCAAAAATGATCTTATCCACCGCATGTGCGCAGAGTCTTGCATACACTGTTGTGGATGAAGGCAGTGGAGGAACGAGGAGACCGACTCGCACTACATACATGTTGTGTGTGAACGTGCGCGCGCGTGCATTGTGCTACAACCATGTTTGTGCCGACAAAGTGGTGGTGTCCACGTGACCTAGCGATGCGTAAACCAGACGAGGCGGTTCGCATGTGCCTTCATACGTGATCATATCCGATGTGGTTTACACCCATGCATCGGCTGATAGTACGTCAGGTATTCAACACAGAGCACCCGTGCAGACTTACTTCCTCAGGTAGTGAACTCTCAAGCCTCGCTTTCTGCCGCTTCATAGGCCTCATTCTGAAGTCGGTCGTGCAAGTGGCAATAAGTACGATAGAATAGAATCGGGACAATACACTAACCTGGGTTATCCGGCGCTAACTGGGCATCGGTCGTGATGGTAACGATCACGCGCACATGCACATATATGTGCAGGCTTGGATAGAAGTTTGTTGATCGTGATACCGATGGAGTTGATTACTGACGACGCGCTAGGTCCTCGCTTTTGGTCACACACACGAGCACCAGCGTGCGAGCGAAAGTTGAACGTCTTTCCTAGTTGGCACTGACGTTTCATTTATGAAAAAGGGTTTCTGGTTGGAGGAAATGGAGGATGCTTATCAACAAAACTGTCTCTGTACGGTCCGAGACCTCCATTCGCTCAGCGAATGGCCACAATTCTTCCCCTCCGAGTCGTGCGTCTGCATGACTCTTGATGGCCGCATGGACTCATACGCTGTGGTCTTACTGGACACTCTATCTCCTTCGATTGTAAGACGCTCATGCTCAGATATTAGTCGCGTATGCACACGCACAAACAGAGTATGAGAGGCGAGCATGACTACAATGGATGTGTTGATATGATACGGTGAGCCAACTGACTCTAACGTTCTTTCACCAGGCAAACCAAACATAACCATGTGAACCATATTCATAATCTCGACAAGCCTGTCACATTAAAGGTCGGTTGTGACAGACTGGGGTCAGTCAAACAAGGAGATTGGTTCAGCGATTGCGTGCAAACGTGTGCGTATGTATGCGTGTTGGACCGAGCAGCCCTGCGGCTCTCAATACATGAGGTTTGGGATGATATACGTCTGAAGGGCGACAACTAGGATCGTGCACACATTGCCGGTGTAGGTTTGAATGTTGCTGTTGTCAGAACGCAGCTAGACAATGGTACCAGACTTGTACACATTGTGTCAAGTATCTAGTAAAGGAAGTCTCGCAACCATCCACATTGTAAACCGCCGAATGTCCCAAAGAGGAACAATTTGTCCACATCATCATTATCATTAACGGGAAAATGGCGTAGCCATGTGACCGGTGCCACACGGAAGTTCACTTTAGGAGGAAAACGGAGAGATGGTCATATAAATGGGGCTACAATGAGCAAATGAGTTTAATTCACCAGTGTTGTTGCACTGCACTATGTTCCGATGCAAATCTCTCGCAAACAATTCAGCAAGCGGGGATAACAAATAGATTGCACCTCGCCTGGTTAACGTTGCTTTCGGTGGTAAACCAGCTTAGCACCACACGCGTACGGAGATATGCGGGGCTGCAAAGAAACAACTCCTAAAATAAGCCTTCAGGCGGTTGGTCATCGAGTCCCAAGGAAGCTTCGAATACGCTTAGGGCAAAAGTGGTCTCACTGGATGCACAACCTACGCAGCCAGTGGTGCGTACGATTTAAAAGGGTTGCTTTTCGAGCGTCCAAACATAGCTCACTGCAGTACGAATCCACAAATTAGCAGGTTCCCATTTACGTCAAATGGAGGTGAAGGCCGAGGTAGGTCGTACGATAATGCTGTACCTAAGGTCACTACTAAATGAACGCAGCCACCAAACTTAAGGAACCCGTTGCGTGCAGTGAAATGCAGCTGCTTGACTGAACGATTTCATGCAAATCGTTTCGATACTCGAGATGAAGTAGGCACGCGTAAAAGTGGAACTCCTTACACCATTGAAAAAACTACAAAATGTCAGGTAAGGTCTCACATCGTACTGTTAATCCGTCTCTCTCTAAAACCAGGGACATTGTTCAAGAAGGCCAAATCGTCGGTTACTTTCTCGCTGCTTCCGAAGGAAGACCACGCAGTCGGGCAGTCCGAATGTTTGAAGCAGGTACCCGCTCGGTAGCTGGTGTGCTTGCAATTTGAGACAGCGGCATAGGCACAATCAGGTTGGGGACGAGGTGAGCTTATTATTCAGTACAAGGTACACTCAGTCGGAACGTAGGTACTTATGGCTTAATCGTGCGGTATGAACTGTGGTTCAAAAAGAACAGTGAAACTAACCGATGTACTCTTGTTGGTTAATCAAAGTGCTTACAAGTTAGATGCATTTCCGATACTTTGTCTAAAAGCAACCGGAAACTCGCTCCAACTATTCCTTCCGACATAAACTCTATTAATCCTTGCAAGCATCATCGACCAGTGATGGCAGATACTCTCTTTTCACGTTGGCAGATCCGCTGTTCTTGTGAACAGCCTCCAAGCAAAAAGATACTCTGCACACCATCCAGAGGAACCACAGAGAAAATAGTTAACAACCCACGTAAGAGAAATCACCTCGACAATGAGGCGAGGAGACGTAGACAAGGGGCAATACTTCGGTGAACCACCTTTTGTAGTCCGCTCGTCTCGTGCGAAACCGCCGTCAGCTCTTGCACTTGATGATATAGAGCCCACAGAGATCAGGTAGGTGTAACCAAAGCTAATAGACGACAATCGAATGGGGCAAAGCACGAACCACTGCTTCAGAGAGTGTGAGCTCAACTCTACGACAAAAAGATTAGAATTTTGAGTTCAAGCGCCATGTGTAATTAGGGAGACTATTTTGACGACCGATTCTGGGCCGAATGAAGCTGGGGGGCCATCCAATTACGCATGCTTATCGGTGTGGATAGATGGACTAGTTGAATTGCACAAGTATCGTTGGGCATTACTAGTCTTCCATGCATCCATACTCGATCCGGTCACTGCTCCGGTGAAAGGTCGGAAATGTGCTTATTCACAAGTCCCGTTTCAGGTTTCTCTACGGAGCTTCCTCAACATAACTGAGTGAAACCTCACAAATAGACTAAGCCTTTTGGAGGTGTAGTTGTGTGATGCGTTACATGGTGATTCCTCCCTAAAGAATTCCATTTGAGACCCGGCAAATTTCGCAAACAGGAACGGGTTGTGCTTGAGCCAGTTCTACGTAAAAACAGACTATCGGCGCAACAGTTATCGTTACACAGCCTTCCACTGTGGTAATTATATACACAAAATGTGCACTTGAACACTGAGCTTGCCCCGGTTGCGTTGGCGAACGAAGCAACCGAATTGTGTGATGCACGCTTAGCTCCCTTTAGTCGAATGTTGAGCAGCAAAAATGAAACTGCGCCTGCCTCACAAACATTCAGGTGTCAGGGTGATGGCGACTTTGAGACGAGCATGAAAAGAGTGGAGTTGCGGCAGGTCAGGTTCAATCCCCCAGCCTTTCAACAGACCAGGTCGAAGTGGTAGCAATGAATTTGGCGGTCATCCGTAAGTTGCAGGAATTAGATGATGTGTCTCCTCACAATGTACTGCTGAAATAGTAATACCCTGTTGCTACACTTTCAAAGAATGAAACAGTTTGCAGGCGGTCCCTTCAACTGCCTAACCTTATCATCGCCAAGTAGCAGCCTAGGCTTCTGAGTGGCTCAGGGTTTCATGCATTCATCTCCAAGTCATGCTTGTTTACTGGTGCCTCGTACAACATCCAACGACACTTTACGCCACTTTGAGAATTTTGCTCGTAATGAAGACTTGCCCTGGAGCTTAGGTGAGCCGTTTCGTTACCCAGGTCCACCTCGTAATGACACTTTCAATTGTATTACCTAGGCTCGAAGAACATGCCTTCTACATAAAACATCCAGCCCTGTGGACATCCTACCGATAGGGATTTGACCCGCTACTTCAAGAGACCCGGCTGCAACATTCCGCCCGGAGATAAGCAATGAGTTTGCCAACTTCTAACAAACAAGGCTCAAACTGCTCCTGTGCACCCTCGTTCTGGGCGCACATTGATTCCCCGTTTGGGACGTAGTACTAACACAAAGAATTGACCCTTTCTTCAGAACGCAGATCGCACTGGGAGCAGCAGGCAGAAATTGAAGGTTAACTTAACGAGGTAGACGACAGATAGTAGGTTAGGTAACGTCCCCATCTAACTGAGATGAAATACCGGATGGCAAACGAGAACCGGTTTCGCGTTGCGAGTCTGTTACTTATCCGTACCACTACCAAAAGCTTGATGTGACCGTGGTCAAACACAAACTATCCCAGCATTGTATCAGTGTTCGACACGCGACATCTTTCACCGCCTGTGCGAATGTGGAAGCAGTGCTCCGCTCAAAGTAACCATGTGCGCTGTTGAGTCAGTGGTGGGCCACGAAACGGTACCGTCTTTCTACTGCCAGTCACATACGATACAGACAGGCTGCACTATTCCCTGTGCAGCGTCCGATACTGACCAGTTGCAAGTTTACCGCGTAGACGGAGAAATTTCAGGCCGAGTGGCGCACAGCATCATTGCATACGTCAACTCTGTGCGCGTTAGGAGCCGATGCTATTAGGCAACTCCTTGTTAGGTGGTTGTTCATAATACTATTATGCATCTGTTGCCTTGTAATAGAAACTTGCTCAGTAAAAGGGAGACGATGACTACTACAAGGCCAGAGCAATAAGTTTCCGGATACGCAGTACACCGATTAAGTGCAGAGGATCTGGCAAGAAAAGTGTGAACTGTAAGCCATTCTAAAGGGTTCAGTGATTTCAAGTCACAGAAGTCTATATCAGCCGCCTCGCACAACTCAACACAATTCCTAAGGGTTGCTATACTCTGATTCTAAGTATGGAATTCAACCCATGTCACTGGAGGACAATGAGTTTCTATGACTACAAATGTGGTTTAAAGCAGCACCAAGATGTTATGTGACTGCATGCTGCGTTTGGTGATGATGCGTCATCAATAACTACTGTGCTTGAGTAGTTTGCAGTTTTCAAGCGTGGCAGGCCGTCCGAGGATGATGAGGCACGGTGTAGTCGACCTGTGGAGGCCATCACCGCGGACCACATTGCTGCTGTGAAAGCGATGCTGGAGGAGGACGTGCGGGGAGCTGTGGTACGGCTGGGAATATCCATCGGGATCTTATCGAGATGAATCCGCAGCATGCTACATGAGAACATCGGCCTCAGAAGGTTTGCGCACGCTTGGTACCCCATCAGCTCAGTGGGGAGCAGAAAGCAGCTCGGATGAATTGGCCCTGCACCAAGCTTACCATGTTTGATGGTGAACGTTCCAGTGCTGTCTGGGAAATCCTCAGCGACCGAGAGACGAAGCAACAATCGGCTCAGTGAACGCTGCAGAAATTCCAGCGTGAGCTCGGTGGCTAAGCAGATGGCGGCCGAGTTCGTGGTCAAGACCCCTCATGTGGCTACTCTAATGCTCGTACGGCAACGCAATCACCGGAGGTTTGTATGTCACCCCCTATCTGCCACAAGTGTTGGAGGCTGTAGCCAGGCTTCGTCCAAGAACTCGAGCACGAATGACCTTGCTGCACCATGACAACGTACCTGCACATAGGTCCCAAGTCGTCGTAGATTTTCTGGCTAGAGAATGCAAGTAGGTGGCGTGTCATCCACCCTACAGTCCAGACATGAGTCCGTATGACATTTGGGTTTCCCAAATGTCCAGAGCAGGATGCGCAGAATCCGCTAAGAGTCTCCAGTAGCTGCAGTATGAGCCTTTATTGAGATGCCTGAAGGGTTAACCACTTCAGCATGATATAGCTGCTTCTCCAAATGGTTTAAGCGCTGGAAGTGGGCATGCTCGGTGGTGAAGGGTACTTCGAGAACATTTAATGCTTATTTTGTTGTAAAAAAAACTTGTTCTTCATCCGGAAACTTACTACTCTACCCTCGTATTTATTTGAACAACTTGCTATGGAGTTGTGGTGTCAGCCGTATACAGCTTCCACACAGACAAGCTATAAAGTGGACGTGGAGAAGTACAACAAGCCAACTTAGATGGTTCGTACAATACGGAGTCATGCGAAAGTGATGGGATACACCAGTTTGCAGAGTGCCTTAGGAACTGTCTAGGCATTCAGTTAAGACATCGAGGGTTAAGCTACTTGTGCAAAGGACGAGATGAACACCGTGCCTAAGATATGGCAACGAAGAACATGTTACATGAGAACGTATAACGTGTATAGAACCGTTGAGCCAATGTGGCCCTCTCCACAGACATCGTATTTACGGACGGAACAATTTAACGGAGCAATTGTATTGCTATCCCCCTAGGTACCCCATACTACGATTCGACATTTTACCTCACTCTTCTGATATTTGACAGAAATCAGACATCCTCTCCGTCCGCACGGGTAGCTAACCGCTATGCGGGTCTCGCGATCTGCTGTGGATATAGTCAGTAGAACGTTGTTTGTTCCTGACTATATTGCCAACATGCAGCAAACTTGAGCTGTGATTAACACCCACGAATTGCTCTGTGAACCAACAGGATGCCGGACTTGATTTACTTCTGGCGTTGGTGCGAATGCGCCGTCGTCAAGGTCCGGTTGATATACCTACTGCATGGGGTAGCTCACTGCTCTCTCGGTCAGTTAAAGGACGTATTTATTGTATAGAGAAAGACTTAGTACATCTCAAAATCCGCCACTGGAGTTCATGCTTCTAGGTCAGCCGCTTGCGAGCCAACTTACTCAGGTGAACGTTCGTGAAATGCTCGCTAACATATGCTTCGGCACAACTCGGAAACAAATGTCGAGATGCCTACTTTGATGGGAAAATAGCCAGTTGTAAAGCTGCAGCTGACCGTATGTCAACTAATAAAGCCTAACAAGACTTAAGTGTCGTGAAAAACAGTGTAAGGAAAGACTGATGGCTCATTTATCGGATGAGATGAACAACGTGGGACCAACGACTAGATTGTTGAGTAACCATGAGTGCTGGAATTGTTTGACAAACGCGAAGCACAAAAGAGATATGGTGTGTATGCATAAGACTCACCTGCTCATCAACTTTGGTCGGCAGCATCATATTCACCGTCAGTGAAGTTTTATCCCGAAAAGCGAGCACAGTGAGCTGTGGTTGTGATCAGAGTAAGGAAATTGTGAATGGATTGCAAACACTTTTTCACGATGAAGTACTAAATCCCACAGGTGGATAGCACAAGTAGTCGCATTTATAGTATTCCACGCCTGGCAAAACCGATCATAGCAGGTGTGGATGCAAATGATCTTCCACTGAGGTTCAAGGTCGTGTCGAGGTAAACAGCAGGACAGCTCCGTCGCCAATTTGCACACTGTAAGAACAGAATGGGACACGGTGAGTTGTATGAACTATGTGAAGATAAAAAGGGCAGATCAAGTGACATGGAAGATACATTGGTCATTACTTTCTGTTTATGAGACGCGATAGGAAAGCGTAGACTATGTGACTAAATAAGCACGACTTGGTCATCGATCAAGAACGTACCCGCAGCAGTTGTCCGTGTGCTTATGTCACACTTCGGTACTTTTTGTGTCCACGAGAATGCGATCAACAATCCGTCAATCGATCAGTTACTTGGATTGGGTGATCAATGAGTATCCTTCACAGTGGCGAAATGACAATTAAGGAATAATTAAACTGGTCGCTGAACCAGCGTGGATCGATTCTGAACTGGTCACATGGACGCAAATGAGCATTAGTGTACGCCCACACCCGCACGCAGCAGTGCGCAAGTTAGAGACACTATGTTTCTTCGTTTCTGGATCTGATGAATCTGTCAACGCCAATCCCGTCGATACCGATGACAGCGAAGAGTGGCTCTCAGTGGTGCCGTGATCGATGCCTCTTCCGATACGTGTGTGCGTGTGCGCAGCAGCTGTCAAAAGAAGGCGACCAACTCGCGATGGCTCATCATCGTCATGTCAACAAAATGGGTTTATGCGATAACTACTCCACTGCTGCTGCAACTGCGGCTGAAGTGTGGGTAGCACCTTTTGACCGATGAAGTGTGTAACGGACACTGCACTATTTGTGCGCTCGGATGACAAGATGAACGGAAAACAACGTCTGAATGTGGTGAAGGACCGTCAAACTGTCAAATATTGTCAGAAATTTATCGCACAGTCCCGGCGCCCTTGTCCTGTTCAATTAGCTGTCAACCTGTCCAAACGCATAAGGCAGACGGGTGCATGCATGCGAGTGCAACCTTTCGGGAATTGGTTGGTTCACAGGCAGTGAGGGGTGAGTCGAAACGCTTTGGCAATAGTCTATACACTGATACACACACGCAGTGTCACTAACAGCTTGTCAATGTAGTTCCGGTTGGCTATCCGTTCACATTGAACGTGCGCCTACCACCCTTTCACGGTATTCCAACCAATCGTGGATAGGTTACCTCAACGGCTGTCAGACCGGTTGGCTGGGCGCGCGAGCCAATCACAGGTGATGCAGTGTGACTTTGCCGATCATTCGGCAGTCTCGAAGTTAGCCACTCGTAAAGGAGGACTGGAATGGAAGCGGCTTGCGACGTCCACATGCGTAGTGAAATACGTGTGCACGGAAGTCGTCGCATAAGCAAAGGGTGAAGTATGTACCAGATGGCTGCGGCTTCGTCGCAACAGAACGGTGTTGAGAATGCAAGAGACCAAGCTGGTCCAAGCCCGACAATGGAGACGCTTTCAGTTGGAGGATGATTACTTCCGTGTTGCCTCGATGACATCATATGCTTTTGAACCTGGTGCATCCCATTAGATGACTTCCCCATCCGACAATCACGACTAGCACTGATCATTCGTTAACTCGCCTTGCTCCGGTTTTATTCAGCTAGCCTTATCCTTGCCTACCTGGCATCAGCGAACTTAGTCGTGATACCATCTTCGAAAGGAAATCTACTACATAGTGTTTTCATTTCTGGGTAGTTGGAATGCGCGGCTCCTTGGAGTGAATGCGTAACGCAGCCTGACTGTGAGAACAACATTCTGTCTCTTCATCACCGGAATAGGTGCTTGTCCAGACAGGTTCGTTGTAGACGGACACCATGAACAGGTGGACGCGAATGCGTGCACTGTTGTGTGTGTGTGTGTGTGTGTGCGCGCGTAGGCCTCTTAACTGTCGGAATCAATTAGCTCATTAGTCTAGCGGACCCGATAATCGTGCCGGCGCGAGATAAATGAAGGAGTTTGTTCGTCCGGTCGGATGTATTCGCATCACAAGCAGGGACGCGAGCATCTCACAGACTGTCACTCTAGCATGATGTATTAGTTAATTGAAAACAATTAATCGAATGATCGCTGCAAGCTGGGCTAGACTACATTCCAGGATGATTAGGTTTTTCCAAACGACAGAACGCGCCATCCACATGCATTCCGATAGGAGTTACCTAGCAATTGGCTGTGAGTTTCAATGTGTAGGCTATTTGGCATCCAGTAACCACTGTTTAGACGCTTGCTTAGTAGGGGAACATCCTGGATACAGCAGCTCCGTCCATTACCACCTGGAGCCAGAAAGCAAGATGGATGAGACCGCAACTACTATCCGTGCAAAATGCACATAATGAACCCGACCAACTAGGGTGTATGAGTAGGTTGTTAATAAATAGAAAAATAAGCACAATCTGTGAACAGATCCTTTTAATTCATACGTGTAATGAGAATAAAAAGCACGATAGCATCTGAAGATTAACCAATTGTCCAGTTTTTCGTAGCCATTAAGCCCAACTAAAAGAGCATAGTAATGAGTCAATCAGGCCTATCTGAGTAGATGTTTATCTACAAACTAAACCTACGAAGTGTCCATGCGATGTACCGCCAAATAGAAAGGTCCGAATAAAACAGGTCTAGCGCTGTGGGAGCCCCTGAAGTGCATGCGTAGACTCCATATGCACATTGGATGCGGGAAGTGGGAAGTACGTGTCGGTGTGATTCGGCGCTTGAAAGGGAAGATGCAATGAATTTCGCCTTTGTCTGGTTGCAATGAGGAAAGCGACTCACGAATCTGGTTGACTGGATGTGTTGGTCTCCTTTGGAATTTTGGAAAGATCTTCATCATAACCACGCTGAGCCAGATTGGGCACTTCGCTTGCGAAAAAACACTGGACGGTCATTTCAACCTTAGAAGTACATTCAGCAATCCACACAATCCATTAGCAGGCAAATGATTCCACATACTTTTGCTTGCGTTTACCACGTCCACCAACTATACGCACACTCAGGCCGCACAGCAGTTTTAGCCGAAATGAGGGCGCTAAAACCAAAGCAACACCTTACCGCACATTCATCCACAGGGTTGTCAATTTAGCCTTTGGCTCGACGGACATTTTTATACACCCTGAGCAGATGCAGTGTCCATGGCCTCTTGAAATATAGCCTCGGAGTACCACTGTAAAGTGGAACCACGGAAGATCTCAAACAACGGGAGTGCCGCTGTCTCTTTGGCGTTGGGGGCAGCTAGTCTTCCGAGTTTCTGATTACTGGCGAAAATGAGCATACTAAAACATTACCGTGATGTTGCCCATTGTTTAGCGAGACGCTGTACATTTCTAAAACCTGACCAGTGTGTAGATTTCTGTTTCGATTTCGTTTACCATTCCGCATCGGAATTGCCACTAGTGATTTTCCGCCTTGAAGGTGCAACCATATAATCTACCCAACTGTATGCACATTATTCCGTTAAGTAAAGCCCTTCGAGCATGGATGGATACGTTGGGTAAGGACTTGCTGAACCTCCGGACCAGGCGTATTGCGTTTACCGATGTGACATATAACAAGTCACTGTTGAAAGCAGGTGAGAGTTTTAGCGAGCGGAAAGAAGTAAGATTGGATACAGGGGCTACATCCTGTCACTGCGTACTATAAAATGTAGAATCTAGCAATCCGAGACAGGCGATGCTCGGGAGCAACAACACTGCGTACCCAACTGAGACAGGACTCCAAGGTTACCAGTTTTGTTGTCCATCCAATCCACGAAGGATGTGAACGTGAGAATCCTTAGGGCCGGCAAGGAGATAGGAATTCAATGCGGCCACTCACTGGTCGGCGAAACTTCACATATGAGTTGTACAACCTCCGAAGCATTGCTTAAATCTGAGAAACTTTCATGTATGTACACTAACGCCCAAGGGCTCCTCAGTAAAAGTACCGAACTTCGACTACGTCAAGTTGCAAATGCTTGGGGCCTAATTTCTATTACTGAAACTTGGTTACACCAAGAGGTGACTGATGCTGTGGTTGAGATAGCCGGATTGTCACTCATCCGGAACGAGGAGGTGGGGTCCTAATCTACTACCGCAGTGATCTACAATATACAATAGTTGATGATCTGCAAACACAGTTACCGACTCACTCTGGTGCCGTCTCCGACTAAGACAATACGACGCATGTCTCGTTGCTGTCGTTTACCGCCCCCAACGTCCACTCCGCAAATGGATTCCTGCTTGATCTGTGGCCTAAACAGAGTAACACGCACTAGGTACAGCCACATTCTCATCTCGGGGGACTTCAATCTACACAACCTGGAGGTTTTGGCATCACCCAGTGAGCAGTTCAAAAAAGACTTCCATGAACTGGTCGCTAATATTCCCTTGTACAATCATGTCACCACACCCACTAGATTCAGGACAACAAACTAACCGTCCGAATTAGACCTTGTGCTCACGAATGAAGAGCTCATGGTTGACAAGTTATTGATGGATAGTTCATTGGGTCTCAGTGACCACGTAGTAATAACTTCTGACTATGTGTGTTATGCAGAGTATCCTTCTGAACACTCGGAACTAACTCATACAATCACACGCTACCACGTATTGAAAGAACTCGCCGACGCAGCTGCATGGGAATTCTCAAACAAAAGTCCCCTTGACAACGTTTGGGCAGAGTTCGTTAATAAGCTCAGCGACATCGTCAACAAAGCAACAGAGACCAAACCCCGTCGTCCCGCGAAAATGCCTTCAATTCTAAGGAGCAGGACTCGAAAATGCCTGGCGATAAGGGATGCAGCTTGGTGTGCTTACAAAATTAACCCCGACTCAGAGAATTGGGGAAATTTCCTGACCCATCGCAACCACTGCACTGCACTTGTCCGTGAGGACAAAATAACTTATCAACTGTGCCTAGCCAACAAATTCATGGCAAACAACAAACTAATGTATAGGCATGTCAATAAGCTTCGTAAAGTGAAGCATGGAATTCCTCCACTTTTCATGACAGGCGGTAGGGTACAAAGCGTCGAAGAAGCAGCCAAATCCCTGCGGCTGCAATACGCCCCAATTTTTGAACTCGCAATCTCTACCTGTCCCATAATATCAAGCACATTACCGACACCTTTGTTTACAAATGTAATTTTCAACCCATCAATTGTGCTAAGGAAATTACTCTCACTACGTGAGCATAGTTCTCCGGGAGTAGACAACATCCGCCCGAAGGCACTGAAGGCTGTGGCCATCAAGCTAGCTGAACCACTGTCACAGTTCTTCCTAAGGTGCTTTGATGAACAACAAGTCCCCACTATGTAGAAGTGTGGTATTATAACCCCTATTTTTAAAGGCGGTAGCCGTTCCGCTCCTGCTAACTATCGTCCAGTGACTCTCCTCCCTGTGCTCGTGTAGGTGATGGAAGCAGTTGTCGCTGAGGCTTTAATGGACTACCTGGAAAAATACAACATCTTGGTACCGGAACAATGTGGCTTCCGTCAACATCAGTCATGCACCACCAAGCTACTGATTGCACGAGGTAGTTGGACGGAAGTGGCTGATGATGGGTCGGAGTCAACGTCATCTATCTGGACTTCTCCAAAGCTTTCGACGGCTTTGATCACCACATCCTACTTCAACGGCTACAGAGTTACGGAATCGGAGATCTTGTACTTGGTTGGATTTGCAGCTCCCTTCACCAACGGAAGCTTCAAGTACGTATCAGTGGATCACTCTCTAACCCAATTGAGGTGGAATGTGGTGTTCCGCAAGGCTCGGCGCTGGGACCGTGCTTATTCCTGGTGTTTATCAACGACCTGGCATCAGTTATCTCCTGAAATTTTCTGCTTTTCGCCGGTGACGTCAAGATATGGCGCGCGATTAGTAACAAGCCAGATCACAATCTGCTACATCATGACCTAGATTGCATTTATGAATGGTCAAAGAGGAACATGCTTCAATTGAGCATAGCTAAGTGTAAGATGATACATCTGCGTCACCAGCTGGTGAGCGCTTACAAGCTTGGAGACCACACCTTGGAGAAGGTCTCTCAGGAGCGTGACCTGGGTGTATTGGTACAGGAAGATCTC